TACTTAAAGTGTACCACGAACATAACTATATTTAACTCCACCAATTCCCCCGTTTATTTGATACATATGGAGCTATGAATATTTCATGATTTCCAAGCACGCGAAATGTCCTAAACTTTGATCACTTTCCAACGCATGCGAGTTACCAAGCTAGATTCAACAGAAAAATTTGATCAACGCAATTAGAATAAAATATACACGATGCGAACGCACGTTTAATTACCTCAGCAGAATTAAATATTATTTTTTTAAATAGAATGCAAGATTGTTCCTCAGAAATCTGAATGGTTCCTTTGGAAGAAAGCGTAATTAATTTAAACAGTGGTTTAAAGACTAAATTATATGCCTTCTTTCTTTTCTTTTTCTTAATTCAGACATAATGTTTCAATAGTTTGTCCTATTTTTGTATGAATATAGCAGTTTTCATAAAAATATGTAGATATACAGTAAATTCTCCACAAGTGTCAGTCCGCAAGGAACCTAAACCTGACACTTGTAGAGTCAGGAACTACGTTTTCGAGCATCGCGCCCGCCTTTGTAGTTTGCCGAACGTAGACAAGGACAGCGAATAAAAGATAAGGATGAAACGTGAGTCGAGGCAACCAAGCGATTTAAATACCAACCTTTTTAATTTTACTTTTTTTTTTCCCGAAATTTCTCTTAACATATTGATGAGATTTTTCTGATGAAAACTACATCAAACACGACATAATTTGAACAACATTTACTTATTAACACGTTCACTGTCGCCTGACAGCAACCTGTAAATCTGGCGCGACAGTGAACGTGTTAATAAGTAAATGTTGTTCAAATTATATCGTGTTTGATATCATTTTTATCAGAAAAATCTCACCAACATGTTAAAAAAAATTTCAGATGAAAAAAAGTAAAATTAAAGAAATTATATTTTTCTATTATGAATTGTCGAGCCGTGAAATCTCGTAAAAGAAACCGAGTGGTGTAGTGTTACACGCTTGACTGACAGCAAGCGAGATAACATAGGCGCAGCAATGACGCAGCCTAGGCGTAGGACCATCTATACTGACACTTGTAGAATCCAAACTGACTGACACTTGTAGAGAATTTACTATATTGCACCAATATTTATCGTAACATATTTACATACTTACATGAAGAAGTGAAATCTGGCTTATGCGCCATTTTTAAAAAACGTGGAAGAAATATGAACATATCTTTAATTCCAAATAAATTATTTCAACTCTGAACTATTCAAAGAGATTGCACACCTTAAAGCCACATTGAAAATATTTATTTATTTTCACTTTTTCAAATTTTTATTCCAACTTTAAATAACAATCTTACAAAGATTGTTGATGACAAAAAAAGGAAGAATTATGAATACATTTTATCGTTAGATAGAAGATAATTGAATAGTTTAACCTGATGTATGAATTAGCGTGAAATACATAATACAATATTGGACTTATTTTCTTTAGTGCATCACTATTATATATGTCATAAGTGAAAAATTTGCAACTTTCATTCCATTGCTTCTAATCCTACTTCAAGTAAATAAATTTTAGCTGACATACACTCCCGGCCAAAAGTTTGGAATCACTGCGTATTGCAAGTTACACAAAAATTCCCAGAAAAAAGTCAGCAGCTTTAAGAACTTTTTAACGAATTTTGTATCATTCAAATCAATCGATATGAGATAAATTGCTATTTATCTCCACAATATCAATATTAAGTCTATGAAAAATTAGCAGATTCAGTACTGATGAAAATTGGGAGGTGATTCCAAACTTTTGGCCGGTAGTGTATATGTGGTCAGTATTACATCGTTTAATACAAAAAATGTCAGTATTTTCATTAAAATATTACTAAAAATAATAATTTGGCAGTATCTTAAATAGATAGTCATTGTGTATAATAAAATATTCTAACCTAACCTAAACAAAAATTGAAATATTATTAACCAAAAAACAAACGAATACCGACCAAATAAACAAAATTGTACTGACAAAATGCGATGTAATACTGACAATTAATTATTTACACTGACCAAAATATTCATTTCTACTGACTATATACTTTAAAAAATACTTACCATTAATTAAAAAAAATACTGACCAAATAAATAGAAGTGTTTCTTTTATTACTTGCATTATCTATAAAAGTTCACAAAATCCTATGTTTGTATTTTTCAAACGTCTACGAAGACTTGTTTATTATTACAAAGATACGATTTATGTATGGTACTGAACAAATAAAGGGAAACAGGCAATAGATTTCTGCAACGCCTACGTCATCAAAAACAATAGTATTATACAGCGAAAAATCCACGCATGCAATGTTATTCTCAGCAGCGCATATAGAAAAACATATTGTACAACATTTTTTCATTAGGTGTATTGATAGTCTATCATAATTACTCTCACAGAATGCTATTATCAATACATTAAGAGACAATATTATCGTATTATAAAATTTCAAGTAAAAATGATACTAAAATGTTTTCTCTAATATTATCAAAAATACAACGAATAAAATACTTTTCTCCTTTTTTCATATAAAAAGATAAATAATCAAAGAATTTTACTCGAGAAAGATACTAATATTTGAAATAGTAGGAAAGAAGGTAATATTTTCAATTTTACACCGCCTTCCACAAAATGGCCCGTCACATTTGAATAAAATCGATGAAGCTATGGCACAATCGGTGCAATCATTAAATTCTAGCGATAGCATTTTTAATTTAGACACTGTTAGCACGAGGATGTGGTAAACAAAGAAAGTGTTCTGAACGCAAATCTTGGATAATTTTCTACATTCTTTGCACGCCCTTTGGCGCTCACATCCGTCTGTAACCTACGATTGTGGAACAATATCTTGTGGCACGTGCATTACCGACACCCACTCACACCTCGAGCAATTCGCGTAGGTGTTCGACCGGCGTACGAGTTGCATTCGCGTGAGCCAACGACTAATCAATGAAAGGTTTCGTAATGACTCCGATTTAACGATGAATAGGTCTCCACTAATTCCTCAACTTCGTTTTCACGTAGTCAGCTGATAAGGTACCGATATCGATAGAAATAGTTTCTGTTTTCGGCTCGCATCTTCATTTTTTAAATGCCCCCAGAGAAAGTAGTTAAACGGCGTTAAATCCGGAGAACAAATTGGCCACGAAATATCGTAATTCCCCGAAGAATATCTCAGTAATTATTGAAGTTTTGACCCATACACCTTAATAGCTTTTTATTCAGTATTCGATACTTTTCGCAACTGTGGAGTCAAATTTTACCCATTACTATTAAAAAACTCAAAGTGACACCTTGATAAGAAAGCAAAATAGCAATATAAACTAATTAAAATCGTGTGCTCCCATTGATACCATACAACTTTTGTTTGAACCACTATTTCGTAGAACAAACAATTTACAAATAATTTAGGTGGCACACTTAGCTGAATCATGTTTCTATATAGAAGAAAATTAAATCTTTAAGATCTCCCAGAACTCTATTATCGACAGAATAGAAAAGTAGATTTAACAATTGAAATTTTACGCATATTTAAAGCTCTAGTAATTAGCACTTTACTGCTAGCGAGGCATTGATTACAATTTTGTGCACGCGAGTGTACTAATTTGCATCACGCACAGCACATAAGTATGCTGGAGTGGAATATTTAAATTTGACTTATTTTTACCGAAGAAATGCTGTCTTTTAGAATATTTGATAAACACGCGGTCAAAAATTCAAACCGCAAATTTTCCAATCCCTAAAATTTTGTAACGAGATGATAGAATTAAAGAAAAGAAATCGTTCTAGTGCTGTTGCTCTCTTGTATTATGTTAAAGAGTGGAGATACGTTTTTTTCGTATTTGAAAGTTACCACGGTATAATAGTTCGCTAATTACAATGTACTACCTATTATAGTATGATAATTCGCTAATTATAATCCATTAATTAAAAATAGATAATTGCATGTAGTATGAAACATTTAAATCATAACATGCTTCAGTATACAGGATGTCTCGTTGTGTGTGTGGGAAGTACAGCAGTGGTGGATTCAGCACACTAAAATAAGAAAAGAAATGCATATGAACATATGCCCGACGTGACCTTATTTTCGAGTCACAGCTTATTCCCTGTTGTAACGATCTTTTTTCCCGTATAGACAGATACAATATACAGTAAATTCTCCACAAGTGTCAGTCCCCAAGGAACCTAAACCTGACACTTGTAGAGTCAGGGACAACGTTTTCGAGCCTCGCGCCCGCCTTTGTAGTTTGCCGAACGCAGACAAGGACAGCGAATAAAAGATAAGGATGAAACGTGAGTCGAGGCAACCAAGCGATTTAAATACCAACTTTTTTAATTTTACGTTTTTTTATCCCGAAATTTTTCTTAACATACTGATGAGATTTTTCTGATGAAAATGACATCAAACACGACATAATTTGAACAACATTACTTATTAACACGTTCACTGTCACGCCAGACAATTATATCGTGTTTGATATCATTTTCATAAAGCGAGATAACATAGGCGCAGCAATGACGTAGCCTAGGCGTAGAACCATCTATACTGACACTTGTAGAATCCAAACTGACTGACACTTGTAGAGAATTTACTGTAATTGAACATTGGTTTACTGTTTCTTCTGCAGGATTTGAGGGTCCCGATATCAGACGAATTGGTAAACAGATTAGGTATTGTACCATGAATGGAGCAGTTAGTACACAGACTTTGATCAGTCCAGGAAGATATGCTTATTGTGAATTACCGATATTGAAAATTATCGAAATATAATATTATCGAAAATACGGTCATATTGTAGTGTGCTGAATCCGCCTTTGCTGTACCTACTTCCTATTTACATACAACGATACACCCTATATGTACACTTACATTATAGTAATATTATACACACTATTGGGTGCAATGCATTCTCGTAGCTAAGTGCATAATAAATTTTGTTACCTCCAGTCATTAACAGTATATTACGTAAATTAACAAGAAAAGTGGCATACCTCTTGAACCCAAGCTTGCTGCTTGATCGGTGCATCCGGTGCAATAGCGACTCTTCCGGCAGTTCTTTGTTTGTACTCATGAAGAATAGGGATCTTGGAATTCTTGTCTCCCGACGACAGAACGACCTCACGTTCTATCTGTAAATGGAAATATTCTCGTTTAGCACTTCGTTCGATTTTATTCCCAACCACTAGTTTTACTGACACATTTTTTTATTAATTCCTGCGATTGCAATTATTTTAAATGGATTAGTTTAAAAGAATTGCAATTTATTTGTAAACAATCTATATAAAATTTTTTACACTTTATTGCTTAAGTGTGATTACTGCAATTTTCTTTTGAAAGGTTTCCTTAATATTGTACATTCTAATTACGCTTTTAGAAATTACTAAGTTATTCGAATCCCTTCTTCCTACTCGCTGTTTTACATAAATATTCTTTCCAAACACTTAGGTTCAAATATGGATAGAACAAAAGATACTTGGAAGAGTAATAAATCTTCGTATTTCCTTAAAACGGTATTTGCTTGATGTGGGCAATCAAAAATTTAATTTAATCGGCTTTTCTATAAGAATGTAGTGTCTAAAATGTATGTGGAAAATATTATAATAAAATTGAAAATATTAACAAAGTCTGAGATTTTAAGGGGACTGAGATTATGAGACGGTAAAAAAGGAAGGATCGTAAAAATGAATAATATAAGATATTTTGAACGAAAAGAGAAAATCATGCAGTCTTCGTATCGCAAATAAGTGAAGAAAGTATATGTGCAGCTATTATAATAGTATAAAAAGTGTACGAAAAATTTTAAAGGCGGTTTTAAAAGCTTGTAGAAAAATATAAAATTTTTTAATACTTATTATTACTATATGTATACATGTACAGGATAGTTCATTTAAGTGAGGCCGCCTCAATCTCTTCAATTGTGATGGTACAACAAATATTTTGGGCGCAATTTGAATGGTGTCAAGGAACCAATATCCGGCAAAGAATATTTTGTTTCCAAGGTTGCTTTTTTCGGAGTTTTCAAGGTCATCGATTTTTTTTGCACACAACTATATATTTTTTTCTATTGTATCGTGCAGTCGATCATACAACACGTTCATATATGTATAATAAAATGAAAAAAACAAGCTTGGAAAAAAGATACTCTTATAAAATTTTCGTATAAAATATTTTTTGTATTATCACAATTCGAAGAGATATTTAGGTGACCTTACTTAAATGGACCGCCCTGTATATATGTATGTACTTCAACATCCTAAAAAAAGAAAAAATTTCATATAAACATATGCCCGATATGATCTTGTTTTCGATTATCGGTAATTTATAATCAGCATATTTTCCTGCATTGAATATAGTCCATGTACTAACTGTTCTATTCATAATATAATACCTAGTACTGTTTACTAATTCGTCGGATCTCATGACCCACAAATCTTGTAGGAGAACAGTAAACTAATATCCAATTAGGTTGTATCTGTCTATACACGAAAAAAATTATTACAACACAAAATAAGCTGTAAGTTGAAAACAAGGCCATATCGAGCATATGTTTATATGCATTTCTTTTCTTAGTTTAGTGTGCTGAATTCATCCCTGCTGTACTTCCCACATAATAACGAGACACTTTATAAATATTACGGTATAATGGTGGATAAATGATTGGTTATCCAGATATTTTTAAGTCCAGGGTATTTAAATCGTGTGAGCGGAGTGTCCAAGATATCGAGGTACGTAGAGATAACCAGAGATTACCTTAACTCAGTAATGAAAATAACTGGAAGACGTTGTATGAAATGTGTACAGTGTAATGGAGAAGCGTTCGAGCATGAATAACGACAATTTTTCAAAATATCTCTATAACTAATCATTTTTCCACAATTATACTTCAATACTTTTTTACGTATAATGACGAGAGAAATTTATATATGTAAAAAAAGTATATATTTCTATTTAAAAAAATAATGTAATTATTGATTGCACATGCACTATTGCACTTCTAAGAAAAAGATGGTCCTACGGATATAGTACTGTTTGAACCATTCATCTTCTTCCTTTGATATTTTTCTGTAACTGTACTGGTAACGGAGTTATAACATATAATATTTGGGTGGACCACCCTGTATTGATCTTAATTTTTGTCACAAAGCTTCTGTTTTGTTTCCTCGACTCGATATTAAGTGTAGTCCTTATATAAGTATAATAAAGAAAAAGCTTATTGTATGTTGATGTATGAAATGTTATCTCTTTATGCTATTTTTAATTTCAACCTGTGTATCTTAGAAGATTAAAAATATATAAACAGTAATTCCCAAACGATCATTTTGTTTCTTAACTTTTGTCAGTAAGTGTATATAAATTTAATATTTATGGTGGTATCATCTACATTCCACCTCCAGAACGTCCCTCTGATTACTCTGACAGACTAACATTAACTTTTCTCATTAGTCCTCGCAAAGACTCTTGCATATTTCTGTGCATATACCTACAACTTCTAACTTAAGTGTAAATGTCCCCCGCGTCCGCGTACACTCGTTGTCAGTTAAAAAAGTCTTCGTGTACCTCATTCGAAATTATTTAGCATTGTATAATTTTAACAAAGAAGACAGTAGATAAATAATATTTACGTTACCTTATTTAGAAACACAACGTACATTAATTTGTTTACAATTAAACTAAGGAAAGAGAATAATGTAACAGAAATGTATCCGTGATTATGAAAGTGGCACTTTTCTTTTCGAGATACTTATAATTTTCCCTTTGAGCGTATTAAAAAATATTTTTTCATTATGTAATAATAAAGTATTCCACAAAATACTTGCCCTTATAATAAATAAATCATTTTTATGAAAAGATCGACGCAATACAGAATAAGTGAGAAATTTAATTTTTCTAGATTTTTGATTTAGACCATAATCACAAGCACAATGAGATGGAAAAAATTTTCGTACAGTATCTAAGAATTTAGCAAATATCTATAAACAAGACTCTAATGGCTAATATAAGTTAGTTTCTTGTTTACAAGCAAATGAAATAACATTACTCAAAATATTTTGCCCATAATGGAAAATATCTATTCTAACTATATGTATATGTTTAATGGCAAATGTTATGTTTCTAAATAGAATGACATAAATATTATTTACTTGCTATTTTGTTTCTTAAAATTATGCAACGCAAAATAAATTTTAATGAGGTGCATGGAGACATTTTTGAGTGACAATGAGTGTGTACATTACTATAACAATTTTTAAAGGCATCCACTTTATTTCAAAAAGTATTACTCATCGTTCAAAATAAGAAGTGCCTAAGGCAGGGCTAGAACCACTATACATCGTTCAAAATAAGAGTAACCTCGTTTCGCGCATGGGACGTGCCTAAGGCAGGGTTAGAACCACTATACATCGTTCAAAATAAGAGTAACCTTGTTTCGTGCATGGGACGTGCCTAGGGCAGGGTTAGAACCACTATACATCGTTCAAAATAAGAGTAACCTCGTTTCGCGCATGGGACGTGCCTAAGGCAGGGTTAGAACCACTATACATCGTTCAAAATAAGAGTAACCTCGTTTCGCGCATGGGACGTGCCTAAGGCAGGGCTAAAACCACTAGAACGTCCAAACCCCCACTTAACCGCCTACGTTTTTCTCCGTCTTACCCTCTGCTACGCTCTCTGTCTATGCGCAGAACGGACGAAAATCGGTCCGAGAGCGGTTACTCTTATTTTGAACGAACAGTAGATACCATTGATCTAAAATGCTACACTCATGCTTTAGATGCATTCATCAAAATTGATATTAAAATATTTCTCTATAAAATAGTTTAACCCTCTCCAGGCTAATGATTCCATTTGTTATCATTACTATTTTTGCATTTATATGTTGTATTTCTGTCTATAGATGTCATTGGATATCATTTTTTAATAAAATAAACACTTTGACAAGTGGCCACAATGTTACATTTGCTGTATTTAACTATTAATAAAGAATAGAAAAAGTGTTCTTTTCCCGTGCTTGAAGAATTTAATTAAATTGGGCTGGAAAAAGGTTAAAAGGAATATATTTGCTTAAACGCTGTAAGAGAACTTTCCGAAAATGTTGAGTAAATATTTGTTGCTCGATTCGGCCAGTACCATAAACCCTGAAAGTGAATAACCCTTATTTCTTCTAAATCATCTCTGTAGTGTACGAAAATTTATTGTTCCCAAACGTAATACATAAACTTTCCATTGTGAAAATTGCACGGCCTTCCTTTCAAACTCATCAAAAATACAGTACTGCAAATATATTTCACAATACATCATATATAATTATTAAATAGTAAAACAGTCCTGAAATTAGTTACGAATTTAATATTAATTCAGATAACGCAATATTTTTCCAACAGTTAGTTTCTGTACCTTATTGAAGTATTAGATGATTTTTATATTTATCACTATTATATTATACATTTATCGAGTATTTTCGCTATGAATAATAGGAATGTATGGTCAATACTAAATAAGAATTCTCTATTCCATTCAATAATTTTAGGAAATGTACTCAAGCTGGTTAAGTATGCAATTTCATTTCCGTTTTATTCCGAGATTACTCTTTCGTATTATGAAACAGTGTACAGTATGTAACCAGGGCCGAATTTAGAATTGCTGAGGCTCTAAGCTATACAAAACCCAGAGGCCCCCTACTGTTTTAAATTACATCAGCTGGTCTCAGAAAAATTTAAAATATGTACGCCTTTTTAATATATGAAAATATATTGTCTTTTAATTTTTATTAAAAAAATAATAAAGGATGTGTTTACAAAATCACAGAAATAATTATATAATTAAAGGGTTTTAAAAACGACAAATAAGGCTCATAGAACAGAAAGTTTTAAATTAAAATAGGAAAATAAAAGGTAAAAATTAAATTAATATAACAACATAATTGGTAGTATATAAAAAATTAATCTTATTGGATAGATACCCTTTGAAGTTAGCCGACATTTTGAAAACTCTCAAATAAATGCATCAATTTTTATACTTTTTTGTTTTTTTATTTGAGGTCCCGGCAGATTGCGAGGCCCTAAGCTGTAGCTTTCTTAGCTTATACGTAAATCCGGCACTGTATGTAACAAAAGTAAGTAAACACTACGGT